TCATTGCCAAGGCCATCGACATGGTCCCCGGCCTTCGCCTGCGTGCTTCCGAGGAGGCCGAGCTCCTGGGTATGGACGACGACCAGCACGGAGAATTCTCCTACGACTACGTCGAGGTCCGCCGTGACTTCCTTGCCTGGACCCCCCACCAGGCCGAGCCCGCCGCCGAGGGCAAGTTCAGCCCTCAACACGGTATCGAGGAGCACCAGCACATGGCCAACAACGGTGGAAGCAGCGGTTCCGACGAGCCCAAGCCTGTCACTCCCGACGGCGAGCTTAGGAGTGAAAAGGCACCTTCATTGTAAAGGGCTGGGTCGAGTTGTGCTATTTTGAGTTCTAGATACCGTTGATTTCGACGCCATTTAGCGTCAGACGGCGAGGCGTTCCTACAGGATGGGTTTTTGTCTACGGATTTGATTTGATGATGGAAGGATATCCCGCGAAACGCGAAGCGAGCATACATATTCGTTTGTATTAATACCCATGATACAGTGGTACGCCCAAAAGCGAATTTATTCAAAAATTTACAATTACAACATATCTGAAGCCCAATTCTTTTGCGCAAGTGACCTACGTGCTTGTGGACACCAAAGTCCAGACGAACAGACATGCACAGAGTTTCTTCTGTGCGCCCATTACGGGCGAGCGTCACTCAATGTCTCATCCTTCACGACGCCCTAGGAAACATGAGAGCACAAAAACAGCGCACTAGAGTTCTTGGCGGATTCTTGCGGTGTCACAAGTCAGCGGGAGGGTGCGAAACACCGCCGTCAGCTTGGCACAGGCTTTATTTCTGTCCTCCAGAAATCTCATTCGTTCGCAAACCCGAATCGAACACCAGGGCCGGTCGCCCGACCTTGCTTTGCAATTCGGCAAACGGCGTGTGGTGTGGGCTGTGCCCAATTTCCCCTCTCCATCTGTTGGACAGTGCTGCTGCTGTCGTATGTACGTATGTACCTGCAAAAGTCATTGACTTTCCCCTCTGCTTTAGACTTTTCGCATGCGATTCAAGCGAGGAGAGTTTCTTTCGCTGCGGATGTTTGTGCCAATGTTCCCCGGATGAAATTTGTCTTGGCATTCTTTGCGTCGCCAGCGTTGCTTTTCCATCCGTGGATTTCCAGTCGGGCTGGCTGGTCAGGCATGGCAGAGTTCGGCCGCAATTTGCTCTCTTCGACCAGGTCGGTCTCGGAGACCGCGGGTGAGAGAGAAGCTGTCAGCGGATTCGTGTTCTCTCCCGGGCAACATGTTCCCTCCCTCCCCTGCTCTACGACATCCATACCATGGGACGATTGAGGGGGTTTGACGGCCAATTCGAGGGGGGATGCCGACCAGTGCGTCTGTGTTATTGTACACTTGGCGAGACCTGCTTTTCCCTTTCGTGGTCACTCAATTCACTCTCCTGCGTACTTGGGCGAATCCAAGCCAGCACCGCGGCATTGTGCCGCTGTATGTTGGTCAATCACCTCGGTCGGCATACATGAATCCTATGAGCAGCACAATGCCACGACCACGCATCCCTCAAGCACCCCGTCCATCCCAGGCCAAAGTATCTCCGTCGCGGACGTACACAACACCGTGCCATACGGATACCGCAGCAACTAAACCGCTTTCCTGCTTCAACGCACCCCCGGCTCTCTCTTCCGGGTTTTTGCCTTTGGGCATCCAAGGATGCCGCTAGCAGAAAAGCCGCGCCCCGTTCCATCGACGAGGACCCCTGAGGGGGGAGGCCACAATCCACATCGAACTGGCGCCGTTTCTTGCGATCCCCGGTAACCCTGTCAGCTCTCTTAAAAAGTCTCCCCCCACCCCACCCGCACCGAAGTCGCAGAGATAAGGACTCGAACCGTGACTGGCTATTGACGCACCCTGGCTGGAGATTTCGACAATTAAATGTGCCCACTTTGTAGTTACGCCGTCTAGCCGTCGGCGAACTACGGAGCGGAGGGAGGCGTCTGAAATGGGTTTCTTGGGCGTCAATGACAGGAAGGGCGTCCGAACTGGGGACGGGGGGCGAGATGGGGAGAGATTATCGGTGTGGGACGATATGGGGGTCACACTGGGAAGATGTGGGAGGCGGCTTGAATGCCATTTTGCCGATGGAAGAAGAGGAAGGGACAGAGGTGAGTGAGGAGTGAGAGGCGGGGGCCCTCTGAGGCAGCTCAGCGTGGGAGAAAGAGGAGCACCGGCCGCCAAGTGGGAGAATTGGGAGCAGCCGCCCATGGGGTTCAACGTCTTGGCACAAACTCAGTACGGAAGAAAGATAGAGGAGCAGCGAGCAGCAGCCATACACTCGTTCCGGTAAGAAGTGAGGTTGAAATAGTGTGCAGCATCGCGAAATGGTGCGTCAACCTGCCTCGCGATGCGGCTGCAGAGCTAAGAGACGCGATGCGCCCGCGAGATCTGGCTCTTTTCTCGATTTCCCCAGATTCTCGGGACGGTTCGCCCCTTGTTTATCTACGGTTTTCTTCCTTTTTTTAATTCTCCTTGGATGTCGTGCCGCCGAATGAAAAGGAATCCTTCCCGTTGAAGAGCCTCCTGGAGACCCGGGTGTTTGGATCTTGCGGGCGCAAAGGGTGGATTTGGGGGAGGTGTCTGCGGGCGTTGCGGGCGCAGAGGCGTGGTGTTTTCGCCGGCGCTGGTGTGTGTGTGTGTGTGTGTGTCCAGCGTGTGTGTGGCGCATGTCACTCTGCCTACCTACCCGAGTAGGTAGGTAGGTAGAAAGGCTAAGGCTGAGGTAACGCAGGGAGATAAGATAGCGATATGCGTCTGGTTGTCGTTGGTTTAAAGGCCTACCACACACCAACATCTCACTTGAGCATCACGAAATGGACGGATGTCGTTGAAGAAAGAACGAAAGAGCCTCAATTGTGGAACACACGGAACGGCGGCCGGTCTTGGCCGTTCCCGACGCGGCGGGACGAACGCACTGAAGAAAACGTGGATGGCTTTGCGTGAGGGTTTTCATCATGTAAATATCGCGTAACCGTTTGACCCCGACACCAGGCCCCCGGGGGGGGAGGGGCGCTCGAGCGAGGTCTTGGCTGGGCGTAGGGCGGACAAATCGGGGCTGGTGCCGTTGGGGATCGATCCTTTGGGTGAGCGTGACTTAGATTACCGAGGAAAGGGGATATTAGTTGAATGGATTGGTTTTTGGGTCTTTTGCACGATCTTTTCGTGGGTGCTTGCTGGTTGTTGTTGGTTTGGCGGGTGACTGACGGAAGTTGGGGTAAGCGGGCTGGGGTGGGCGTTTACCCCAACATCTCCAGATTGAATATGGACCTCGGCTCAGGACGTCGGTGAGGTGAGCTGATTGAGCCTTGATCGTGTCTGTGACGGACATAAGAACATTGATGGAGATTGCTGATGACCTGCATCGACACAGGTAAGTGTTTGGGCTGCACGGATGCGACATCCAGCCTGATCCTTCAGAAATCGCACGCCACTCATGTGTTCCTGGCCCGGAGCGCTAGACCACCTGGTCGAGTCGATGAGGTAGCTCGATGCTTTGAGATCGAAATACATGGCATTTTAATTCAAAACGGGGTAGAGAAAACCTCACAGTCTCGAAGTTGCATCGATGATTCAACGCGAGGTGTTTGTGTCGCCGCGTGGTCAGTCGGCGACTACGGCCTCGGTGTCTATCACCGATAATGGATAACACCGATGATGGATGATTAAGATACCATTTGGAAGGTGAGCATAAGCCTACACTGTACTTTTATTGTCTTGCACTAGGTTAGCTGCCTTGACTTGGTTCCCGTCCCGAGTTCACTCAGTTGTAGGTTCGAGCGCTTCTGGTTCTGTGAAAGCCACTCGCGTTTCTGCGTATCTGATGATATGGCAAGGCCATGCCGATCGGAATCGAAATTTGCTGCAGCGTCAGCACTGGATCGACTCACACAGACTAGGCAAAATGTGCAGAAATGATACTCGCTCCTTCAATAGCACAATTACATCTGATTGGGATGGCTAAAGGGTCTTCAAATATCAGTCCGTCGTGACCTTCATCTTCCATTCTGAAATGATGTCTTTTGTCGACCTCGAGAGTTTAGTACTGGCAAGGGTTTTGCTAGCCGGGCAGTGTCCCCTAGGACTATATCGTAGTGAACCTAATACTTTCACGAGGACGACAGTAGGGCTAGACAGGGATAACGATGGACGACGAGGACGACGACGACAACAACAATAGTGACGACAATAGCGACAACAATAGCGACAACAATAGCGAGTATAGTCGTTTTAGCGTATGTATAGGATGTACGGATCATGTACTGCTCATATAGTGGACACTGCCCGGATAGCCCGCTAACACTGCCCGGCTAGCGGAATTCATTGGCAAAGGAGGCATCTGTTTGTCCTTTCAAAGGCCATCTCATAGGCTCTGCGTATCGGACTCATGTCCTCGCCAGCTATACCTAAAGCCTGATTGGGCTCTAGCGAACTCTCCGTCGAACCGGGATTCAGTCCTTCTTAAGAGAGGTCGCTGGTCTGAATACGTCTTGGGACACCTCTCTCTTCGCAAATTCTGAAGTTGTGTTTTTCTTGTCCAAATACGTTATAGAAAGCCCGTCGTCCGCCACATGCTCTACGTTCCGAGAAGGAATCAAAAACACAGCATCTCTCCGGAATCATGTGATGTAATCGCTCCGATACATTGTCGCTATGTTCTTCAGAGGTGCTACAACTTGGGTTGAAGCAAACTATTTGGTTCTTCCCCAGCCCCTGATCAGACGCAGTTAGTTGCCCTTACTATTTGTCTCACAGTGGCTTCCCTATGTACATGAATTTGACCAGCAGATTACCAATCACGTTAAATAAGCCCGTATATATCAATTCTCTCATTGAGCAGTTTCTGGCCCCCTATTCCACAGATACAAAGCTCAGCCTTTCGGGATAGAAGCTGTAACTCTGGCATAGCTCTTGTTAAAGCAACCTCATTGCCCTCCTAAGCTGCGCAGCATGCCTGAGACCTTTCTTGAGTCACTGTGCCCTCCCTATATTTAAGATTCAGAAGGCTTATGGGATGACCTGTCCTTGAAATCCAAAGACACCAGCCCTTCTCCGTCAACCTTGAGTGGAAAATAGTGATTGCTCAAAGAACCCGGGTTGCTCGACAGAGCTGTATCAGCGCCCCGCCACAACGGTAAATGGAGGCGATCACGCTGATCGTCAACTTTATCGTGACCAAAAGCTACGCCACCGTAGTTCAGCGATGTTTCGGAGGCGTCTGATTGTTCATCTTCGCACGACTCGAAATCAGAGATGGCGCTGTCGTGCTTGTCATCCAGGCCTGCTCCATGCGAGGACGAGCTATGCGGGTAGAGGATGAAGTACTCGATGTAGTAGTCCTGGATGTCGTCTGGCGCTCCCGGCGGATGTGAGACTTGGTTCTTTGCCATGGTGTGGTTCGGGTCCCAGAACTCTTGCATCCAGCAGTCAAAGCCTGGAAACAGAGGGTGACATAGGTTTTGGTAGTATCGGTTCTCGCGCTGGTCAAGCAGCCGCTTGGTGCGGTGATAGTGTATCGTCCAGGAAAGCGCTGCATATGAAAGAAAGGGTTCGGTTTCGGGGCTGACTTCGCCCGGCGGTGAAGTCTTCGATGGTTTGGCTAAGCAGTAGAGGAAGGCAACGCAGATGTCCAGAAGGAGTGTATTGGCGTTGACGAGGGAAAAGGTGTGCTGAAAATGGTGAAGTTGGCTCTCATGAGGCGGATCTAGAAGCGGATTTGTGCCGCGTTTTCTCTGTGCAGCCGAGGTCTTCGGCGCCAACAAGAACTCTCTTGCTGTTTCGTGTACTAGATACACTTTCTTCTTGATGATACGAATGAAATGGCCACAAACATGTTTCAGGTGGTTCTCGAGGGGGTACACGAGTCCATACTCTACGTCGTCGAATGTCAGCTTTGCACGGCGTCCCAGGTGTCTTTCCGGACTTCCATTGCCAGAATCATCACCATAGGGAGCTACCGCAAGTGCGATACTGACTTCTTCAATCGTGAGTGGCCGTGCGGCCGCGAGGATGATATTAAGCATCTTCCTAGCTTTCATAGGTTCCGGTCTCGATGCGAGGAGTTCCGAGTAGACGCTGAAGATGTCTCTCGTGTTGAGAATTCCATCTAGATCTCGTCTGGAAGCCCCGCTCTCGACTTTCTCTTCCAAGAGGCTCAACACGAGCGAGACCCAGAGAAAGGTGCGATCAGCTCGCTTCACGAGCTCGGCTTGCAAGCTCTTGAGGAGGCCGACGGGTAGACCCCGGTCAATGAGGTCTTCGATTTTCGCAGCAACCACCCGAGATACATCGTCACTGATCGATTCCGTCTCATCTTCAGCCCTCAGTCGCATCATCTCATACGATTGTCGACGGGCTCCTGAGCCACTCGTGGACCTCCTGTGTTTGCCCAGTGCGACTTTGATCTGATTCTCAGGGCGGCTCGTTATCAGCACCCTGAGTTTGGATTGCTGCTGCACGCCGTCGCCCGCGAAGTGTTCGGCTATGCAGCGCAGTAGAACCCCTCGAGGTTTCGGTTCACATTCGTCTATTCCGTCCAGGATGCAGATGGTAGACTTAGCATCGCCGTGAACGGTCGACTGGGAAAATGCATCCCATAGTTTTTCAATGCTTTCCAAGTCCCCTCCACGAAGTTTCTGGCGACGCGAAAGGTCTTTCTGCTGGGTATAAAGCTGGTGCAGAATAGCCTGAATCCCCCTTGCAACGTCAGACTGCTCCTCGTTGTCTGATTTGAAAAAGAAGTAGCAAACGTTGACTGCATTCGCTTGTGAGAGTTCCTTAAAATGGTCGACGAGGTAAGAAGCGAACACTGATTTACCGCAACCCGGGTCGGCCGATATCCATAGAAGAGGAGACCCAGTTGATTCGGACAATGCTCTAAATCTTTTGTGTTCAAAGTACCAAGTGCAAGTTCCCTCGACTGGCGCCGGGTTTCTGGCCCTATGTGAAGCGTAGTTGGAGCTATTTAGTGCTGTCATGAGATTGTCTGATTCCAGAAAGATGGCCTTTTGAGCGTCATCAGCCAGACGACCAAGCCTGAACTTGATAGCGGAGAACCTCTTTTCCGTGATCGTGCCGAATCGGCACATGCCTCGGTGATCACTCTCGATGGCGATGGCCTTCTCGGAAGAGTGTCCTAACACAGCCGAATCTTTCTCGACAACCTTTTGTGAAACGTCAGCACCTTTGTTGCAAATGTAACTGACAAGTTGGGAGTCAATCCACCCACCAAGGTATTCAAATAATCCATCTTCAGTGTTTCATAGCAGGAGATGATCTTGAGACTAGAACAACGCTTGAGGAATGCCTCTGAGATGTTGGCCATGCGCTTGGAGTTTGGCTCAAGGTCCTTGGAAAGCTGTGTATTGGTGTTTGCCCCAAGCGATGCCGTCTTCAGAAGACGTGCCGTCATCGTGCTCCAACTTGCAAGGGACGAGCCCTTGTGTGGTGTACCAAAGAAGAAGACTCCACTGATTCTTTTGGCGAGGAACATGTGCTCGTCGCTGTCAAGCGCCTTCAGATACGCCTATGTATGAACTGTCAGCTTTAGAAGTTCTCGAGACGGCTGACGAAGATTCACCTGCTTAAACACAAGACCGCCCAGAGAATGGCATATAAAGATGAGTGGGCGGTCCTGCTCCTCATAGATTCTCTCTCGGCCAGCAAACCCTCCAGAAGTTGATCGCTGAAGACATCGATGTCTGACGTGGACTTGCTAAATTGGACCGTAGAATTGTACCAAAATGATATGACTCTTGCCACCGGCACAATTTGGGGAACGAAACTCTTAAGCCAATTGGTGCCGGTTTTCTCGTCGGTCCAAGTCTTGAGATAATGGCCGTTCAGCCCGTGGATGGCAACGATATCGGTTCCCTCGAGCGCGGCCGAATGCCGAGGGACAATCGTATGGAGGCCATAATCCGGCTTTTCAGTAGATGTCGTCGATTTGCCCGACTGACTCTTGGATCTGGAAAGGAAACTCCAGTCCATCGCTGCTGTTGCTCTGCTAGAAGCTAGGCAGCTGCACACCTGCCGTCATCAACCAGTGCCTATTACCAGTTCGCCCTTTCATGCTGATTGATCTGCGGGGTTGGAAGTCACGTCACGTGTAAAGCGAGCCTGATTCTGCCTGTGCCTGCAGGTGCAGGTGCAGGTGAAGTTACAGTAGTGAGTTCTGATATCCCTTGAGTGATTGGCCAATTAATGGGCTGTGATGGTGGCAGTTGTGGCAGTTGTGGCTGGACATGGAAGGGGGAATAGCCAATAATTTACACCGAGTCAAATATACGAAATCACGACTTCGTCTTCAACAGAAAAAGACGGCCGACAGTATCCTCATACGAAATACGCCCGTTCTGTTGGCGAGAGACAGATCGTTGCACAAACCAACGAATGCCACAGTTTTCTTGCACTTACCACTTGCCAGGTCGCCAGGCATCCATCGGATCTTAACAAGAGAGACCCTAGTTGATGGCTTGACCGCATGCGGCCGATTGAGCCGGAATCGTCAATATGTACTTATCGAAAATGTGTTGGATCAAGGGAGTGTTGCTGGGTTGTTGACAAGTCCCCAGTTTAAACGCTGTCAACTCCTGTTAGTGAACTACTTTCAATTCCGACGGGCAGTCACATTATCAAAGGTAGTACATTAACCCATGTCTTTCGCGGAGCCGGCCATTTGAAAGGTTGGGGCGGGGCATCCCTTCGTGTTGGACACTTGTTTGTCAATCTCCCAACTTCATCATCGCTGTGGACTCCTCAGCAGACTACATATTTCGACCGCATACCATAAAAGTGCTTACTTGCGCCAGAAACCATGGATAGCGACGATGAAGAGCATAACGACTACGGTTATCCCGGTGATGGACCTTGGGAAGATAATGACCCCTGGGACAATGATGACCCCTGGGATGATGACGATCTCCTCGGGGTTCATGATCCCCAAGCAATGTTGAGCGCTCTCCTCGCTATGGCCGGCGCATCGGCCGGACATTTCGGAAGTGGCAGCGATGACGGTCAATACGATCCTAGAGAGGAGTTCGCTCGGGAAATGGGAAGGCGTATCGATCTCAGGCGCCAGACATGGACCTGGTTCGACATTGACTGGTCAAAAGATCGCGGTTATTATGACCCGGTTGATGACTGGGATTGTGGGGATATGATGAGCAACACACCTCCTGAATGCAACATTGACCCTCGCCCTGTTCTTCATGATCGGAGATGGACAGAAATACAGATCTGTGGTCGCGGCAAAGAGCTGTGCACCAGAGAACCTCAGCCAGAAGACTTTGCGAGTTGGAGTCTCGGTGCCATTTACCAGCGAATGACCGACATCGACGAGCTAATGCTTCACATCAAAGACATCTGGCCCGTCAAGATGTTCGAACTCGACGATCAGCCAGCCTCTGCGAGAGTCGTCCTCAAAGATGCCCCTCCCAGCCATCATGTGGACCTTGCCAAAAGGCTTCTTCTCGAACACAACATGTTGCGCAAAATCACTCTTGAGCGTTCGCGATCATCTATTAGACCGCTTACCTTGCTCGATGTTCCGCCAGAAGTTCTCGGCTTCGTGGCGGAGTACCTCGACGGCAATGACAACGAGGACCCCAAACAGGTCGAGAAACCATACATGGCACGCGGCTATCGCGACATCCAAAGCCTTCGCCTCACCTGTCAGACCCTCAACATTGTATCTTCGCCTGCGCTCCTGCACTGCGTGACAGTTCAGATGACGAAGAGTTCTTTTGATCGATTCAAATACATCGCTGAGCGCCCACACTTGCGCAACGGCATTGAACGAGTCCGCATTTCGCTTGGCTATTTCTGCGCCAATGTAGCAGCCTCTGCATGGAATTTCACGGCTTACGCGGTGTGGATGCTCGAGTTTGCGCTTTATCGGAAAGACGAGAGGGGGCAGACCATCCTACACAGCATTATGGCCCACAACGAGGATGCGAAACCGCGACACCAGCAGCTTCAGGATCTCTTGACCTCTTGGAAAGACCTCCATGATACCCCGAGAGATGGCGCTGATGGAGAACAGAGATGGCTGGCTCTTTTCCGTCAACAACATGCACTCGTGGAGATGTATGAAGCCTACAGGCACAGTTTGAATGAGTATGAAGCGGTTCGACAAAACTTCGTCCACGAAGTTGTCAATGCACTGTCTCAGATGCCCCGATTCACTCGTTTGGAAGTATCAGATTATCTATGGAGGTCGCAATCGATCAGTACCGTGTGCGGGGATTTGGAAATGGCGTTGGTCCGCGATGAGAACTTCATGAGGGGAGACCGCTACGTAGGACTCTTCACGAAGCCGATGCAATGGGATCGCCTTGCGCGATTCTCGCCCATGGGGAGTGATTCTTCTTTTGAGACTTCACCACCAGTCGACGTTCTTGGTCAAATTCTTTCGCTTCTTGGCAAACGCGGAGTCCAGCTTACCAAAGTCGACATCAACATCACGCCCCCGCCAAGTTTTGAGGCTCTCCGTCCCACGAATGTCGAAGCTCGACAAGAAACTGTCAAACTTTTCCAGAACGTGTGGTTCCTGCGCTTCAAGATCGGGCCACCAGCCGACTGGAGGAATCATGATCCAGAGTTGCTTGCAAGAGACGATGTGAATCGCATCTGGAAGCCACGCTCAGAAGAGGAGTTGAAACACCTAGACGGTTTCCTGGACGCTCTCCTCGACACAAAGAGTCTGAATCAACTCACCCTGGACTTCACCTCACTCATGCACGAGAAGTACTTGAATTTCTCAGTCGGCGACTGGTACCTGCCGTCTATCATGAAGCCCAGGCAATGGGCGCAGCCACTTCTGCTTTTATTCCACGCCGTGTGCATTGATTCGACAAGGCTTAACAGCTTCATAGGGGATGGGCCGATGCACTTTCGTGAATTCAAAAATATCTATATGGCTCGAGGAACCTGGACAGAGGCGCTGGATGTGATGCGCGAGAAGTACGATCTGAGTGCCTACGACGCGCCAAAAACTTCCTTCACCGCCACCCATTCGCTTTTTGATCTTCGTGGCGCCGAAGTTGGGCTTATGGATGACGATGAGCAGCACGCTGCCTTTGAGACCACAATTTCTGGTCGCCCTTCAACTTTACGTGCGTATCGCTATATCAAACACGAGACAGAAACCAACCCTTTTCGGCCTTTTGAGCAACATGTTGTGTAAGACTCGGGCTTAAACCCCTCAGCCGGTGCCAATTCTGGAAGACGACTACGAGACTGGCTTAAATTCAGATGGAGCAAGCACCTCTTAAGGGTTCCGACAGCAGGAGATAATCAGAAAATTAAAGCTAGTTATCAGTTTTAGATCTTCAATTTCTTTCCTTTAAAATAGCTCTTATCATCGTCGAAGTGCAAATAAGTCTACCTCCAATTCTCATGACCTCACACCCTCCGTCTTCAACTTTTGCCACAGCTTCTCTTCCTCCACCAGGATGTTTTTCCCGCTGAAATCACCCTCAAAGTCAATGTCGGGCAGCAGGCTCTGGTACGGCACCACACGCACCCTCACATCCGACTTCTCCTTGCTCCCAAACTGCATAGCCTCGACAACTTGCCCGTCACCATACGCGGCGTCCGTCACTATGCGCAGCATTACCTCGGCACACTCCTTGGCCGACATGTTCATGTCTTGCTCGCGAACTTTTCCTACGCAGTACGGTTGGAGCACTGCTGGTGTGAACGTGGTCGCGGGGCACATGGACGCGACTCGGATGCCGAGGCGGGCCTTCATCTGGGCCAGGCTCAGAGTGAAGGAGTTGAGAGCGCCCTTGGTGGCGTTGTAGAGCGGCGTGCCGATGGTTGGGAGGTATGCGCTCAGGGACGACACGAAGATCAAGTTGCCTGCAATCTTGTTCTGCAGCCAGTAGTCGATGGCGATCTGAGCGAAACGAATGGGCCCCATCGCGTTGACGGCGAAGATGTTGTACACTCCGGGGGCAGCGTTTGGGTCATCCTGGGCCAGCGGCGAGACACCCGGAAGATCCCAGAAAGCGCTTGTTGGGGGCTCCCTATAGATTTGCGTCAATACGTACTCAATGCTACTAAGGCAAGCCCGTGATTCGTACCAGATGCCAGCTCCGGGGCAGAGAAGGTCGACCCTGCCAAACGTCTTTAGGGCAAACTCCCACGTCTCTGATACCTGAGCCCAGTTGGACTGATCCATCTTGTGGTAGACGGCAGATGGCGACTCATCTTTGGATGGATGGGGATATTTGGCGATGAGTTCCTCTGCCTCCGGACGCAGAGCAATGTCAGCAAAGATAACGGAGCAGCCTGCTGTGAGAAGCTGCTCGGCAAATGCAAGGTTGATACCTAGAGTGGATTTCGATCAGACCACGATGTTCCGGGTATATCAGGGGTTTAGCACATACCGCTGCCAGCGCCGGTGACGACGGCGAACTTGCCCTTGGCGTCCCAGGAAGCCATTATGCCTTTTGAATACAAGATATAAGTTTCGATGATATTCGGGTCAGTTTGAGCCAAGAATTGAGGGGAATCTTGGGCGCATTTATGAAAATATCTTCAGCAGAAAGTGGATAGCGCCGCTGCAGAGTCCCTTTTCCCATGGGACAAAGTCCGAGGCATTGTGGAACTCGAGACCCTGGCAGCATGAAGAAACAGCTCACATTGCAACCTTTGATGGACCAACGGTTGGTTCAGAGATTCTTCATATGCAAGAACCAACGTTGAAGCAGGGGTTGTGTGGATCCAGACTGTCCAAATGGTCATAAGCCAAGGGTCAAAAGCATCATATGTCTTGGTGCCGAGCAAGACGATGACTCGAAAAAGCAGACCCTCTTTCAATGTGATGATGACCTGGGGTCAAAATGTATGTTGGGTTCTTGATGCAAAAAGACCTTGCGCCAGGCGTCGCGGGATCTCATCGGTTTCTGGCCCAAGTGAGAGCCGCGCCTCGCATGAAAAAAGCCTCATGATAGACTCCGAGACAACTCCCGAATTACCGGCATTACAATTCCGCTCCATATGCAGGTGAAACGTTGTTTCTGACAGACAGGCTGTAAGGCGCTGAGTTGCGGGAGCCTGATTCTGTGCCCATGTGCCCCACCTTGACGACGATGCCTTCATGACCTCCTCCACCCTTGTTAGCTCTCACATACGACCATACCCACTGGAAAACTCGGGATCCCGTCCGCTCTCCCATAGATAAGCCAGTGAGGGACAGAGTAGTAGTCGGGTCGGTGACGACCGGCGAATGCCTGTTGTTGTATGTTTTTTGTTGCTTTTTGTGACCTTTAGCGGTGGATGTGGAGGCCATCACGATACGGGTGGTTGGCGATGATTTGTCCGTCACAAAGATCTATAAGAACGTCAAACCCCCAGATGAAGTATGAATTTGACAAACTCGTCCTACAGATTACGCTAACTTCAAGCGGCGAATCAACAGGAAACTGTGGCATGAAAAGACGAGGCGAATCAAGAATGGCCAAAGTACTCCGGCCTCAATTCCAGTGTCCACCGTGTTCAGCCTAAACCTCGCATAGTCTCCAGTCTTTGTTCTTCACGTCGTGTCCCAACTGCACATTGACGTCCTTAGCCATCCTAGCCATTTCACTGACTGCTCCCAGTTCCCTAGTCCTACCACGTAGATCATCATCCAGGCCATGGTATAAGAGTGCAAGTGGCGAGGACCTCCAAGTCATGGTGTGTCCCCAATCGTTCGGACGAGTAAGCTTTTGACTGATTTGCACCATTAACAAGAATATCCACTGCAGGAGAAGCAGCGAAGCCGGATATGCAATCCATCCCCAGTGCAGGTAGACACAAGTCTGCATGCTACTTGTTGTCCCACTAGCCATTCGAAGGTTGTGGGGAAGGTCGACTGGGGGTCCTCCTTTTGGCCCTGCGTAAGGTCTGTTCCGAATTGCGGCTGTGATTGAGTTTGCTAGTCCGCGAGCCATGTTCTCTACCTTCGCCAAGTTTCCAAAGCCGTCGGCATATAATTGTTTGAGCCATACTGGGCCGGCTACCAAACCGAGGGTTGGAACGTCAGTGGTGTTGACGTCTCCTGTGAGCAGGTCCCCGAGTACTTGTTGGATCCCCTCCGACGCCATCATTTCCATCCCCCACACACATTCCTTCGAGTACGAGTTCCAGTCCGGCTGTATTGGTGATTTCATATCTGATTCTTTCATTGTGGCAGCGCATTGAATTTCCTGGCCGTCGACCAAGCTGGTGTTGGTGACAAGGACCCAAGCGATCTGGGGTATGGTTGAGGTGACCTCGGCGAGTGTGTTTTGAGAAATTCGCATGGTTCTAGAGTCTTCTTCCTCGGTGTATATCCCATTCCGAACTTCACCGTAGTACCTCTTCACGCACAGGTCGAGTCTGCACCGTGAAGCAATAGGCTCGGTGTAGCGCGAATCGAACATACACTCATCATCAGGACCTTCGCAGTGAGGATTGGTGAGCATCAGTGTATCAAAACTGAAAAACGGTTTATCGTCATCTTCGAATAACTTATATGAATTGGCTGCGGCTGATAGCATGGCGGAATATCGTGACTCAGACACTTGCGGTCCAGAAGGCAAGTTCCATTTGCGGGTCCCCGTCGTTCCTTTCGACTTTGTCTTTGAAAATAAGACTTCATCGGTAATATTCTGACATGAATAACACATAGCCAGTGACGAAAACAAGTAATTTTCGCTCTCTGCTTTGAAGGTACAATTGCCGGTGCTACAGTTGAATTTGATAAGAGCTGCGGTTTCCTCCTGTTTCGTGAGTCCATTAGTAAGAGCTACCTCCATTGGGTAGTCTAATGTTGCTCTTGGAACTGTTACAACTCCCCTGCTAGCCATGTAAGTATTTGTTCTGGGGATCTCGGCCACTTCAGTTGCCATAGGCTGCCTGGAGAAAGCACATGCTCTATGTTCGATTAAAGCTTGTGAAATCGGATCGACTGCCAAGGCAGCTACCGTAATAAAAGCGCCAAGTCCAGCCAGGTATCTATCAAAGACAGTTAGGCAATCCCTCATTTTCGGATTCAACTGATGTAGCTTACGCCTTTCGTGGGCGTGGCAACTGCTTGATGATAAGGAGCAGACAGCCCCAAGGACCGCGAGTAGCATCGTCAAACATAATCATGTCATCTAACCTCTGTGGTTGACGATACCAAGTCCACTTAAGTTGTCCAATCCCTGTAGTAGCTTTGTATTAGCTACTTGGCAGACGCCTTCCTTGATGTTAAGAAGATCAGAAATTGCCCGCCAGCATAAATACGACATACCTTCGGCGACTGGTAAGATGAGTGCGGCTTTGAATACCGCAGTGAAGATTGCAATGAGAGAATTGACGGATATAAGATCTGGCCAGTTGGGTAGAGGTCTCCCGTCGTGGACTGACAAGATGATGACAATTGCCAGAAGACAGCCAAGTCCAAGCAGACTACTCGAGACTTCTAACCACCAGAGATTCCACAATGTCTTGGTGATATGCCATCTATTTATGGAATTATTTGCAGGGGTTGTGTCCTCTTTGAGAGACTGCGACTCCTCAGAGTGGAATTCCTCGCTGGCGTACGTGTGGTCAAAGCCTTCCCCAGCAGCATCAAGGCTCCGCACTTGGGCTACGCCAGCACCCGTCTCCGTGGCGATAGTCGATTCCATGATGGAGTCGTCGAATGTCGCTCGGGTCTCGAGTGGTAGATTATCACGAAAACGGTTATCATACATGACGGTTGAGGAGGTATGAGAGAGTGGTGGTTGTGGAATGGCAAGTCGTGGTAAAGGATGGCAAACATGACAGCGGGACAGAAGCCTATATATATGACAGACACAGAATATGCCATGAAAGCTCACACAGCCTTGTCTAAACACACGACTCACGAGATTCAGCTGACCAAAGGGCAGTAGAGTAGAAGAGGCCAATCACACAACGTTGGTTTCTCAAGACACCAGAGTGTGTGTAGCATCTGCAAGCAGAATCATTGGATATGTTTGAGTCGTTGCGCAGACTTCTGCCAGTCAGTCATGCAGTGTCTCTGTGCAACGCGAGTGTCCAATCACCGCCACGTCTTCCAGCCACTTGAGGCGAAGTACAAGAAGTAAGGTCCTCTAATACGTCAGCACTATCAAGAAGGACGTGCAGATCTGTGAAGGACCGGATTTGGAAGTCAAAAGTAGCTTTCAGATACAACTTGGTATCATGATAGTGGCGCATGTCTCACATCTGAGGTTGCCTGGAGATCGTAATCTAAGGCTGAATACTTCGACGCCAGCAAAATTATCCCCAATTGTAGCATAGGTGGAAGGCTTGCGTTCAGATTAACCGTATCAATAGGTACAGAAGAGGTTTGTAGTCCATATGTCCTATATCTATACTGAAGCGACTACGTTCCCTATACTCGCTGTAATATCGCTATCGTCGTCGTCGTCATCCATCGTTATCTCTATCTAGGTATCTCTACAAGGATCGTCCTCGTTAAAGCGTGAAGTACACTACGATTTAGTGATAGAGGACACTGCCCGGATAGCTGACTGGTAATGCCCGGCTAGCAAAACTCATTTCGAAATACTAAAAGAGGTCGTGGAGGTTTGCCAAGCCCGCTGCCTCGAGGTTCTCCTGAATCGACCCCTCCAACTGAACTCCAAACGGCCCTGTTTCAAGCGGACAGTATATATCTTTTCCACAAATCGTGTCTTGGAAGTAAGATTTGACAACCCCATAAGCACACAAATTGTTCGTTGCCGTTCCGGTGTGCTGCGTCCACGTTAGCCTAGGCGGATAATCAACGACAGAAAACTAGATCAGACTTACACCCATGCCCTCAATCGTAAGTCTCCTCGCGTTTTTGAAGTTCGGGGCGTTGGAGATAGCACTGTAAATGGAGTAAGCAAGACAGATGACCACCACTCGAAGGACCAGCAGACTTACTTCTCAATCGGCGTCGTCGGATCAAACGTGTTGCTCACAAACAACACCCTCCCCTTCGTCTCCCCTCCATACGGGCCCGTAAACACATCATCGCTCTTGATCTTCCAACCCGTACAGCCCAGCGTGAACCTAATCCACGTCTCCCCGATAACACTCTGCCCCTCGAGCTGGTCAATCAGCCCCCGTATCTCCTCCAACCCCTTGCCGTACTGCTTGTTCTCCTGGTCAGAGCAGATCACGCCGAGCCCCTGCTCCGGGCTCGTCGCCGCATACGACGCGACCCCGGGATCCCCAATCAGCCCGTTGACCTGCTCCGTCCACTGTCCCAAGACACCGCCCTCCAACGCCTGCTCCAGCCCGACGAGCGCCTCCGCCACGGGCCCGAACATCTCCAGCGGCTGCACCGCCATCGCCAACATCCCGACCTTGAACGTCAACAGCGCCGCCGCGATCTCGCTGCTATTCCCCCATCCCTCCGCCGCCGCCCTCCCCGCGTCCAGCCTCTCAAACGACGCCTTCCACCGCTCAAAAATGTCCATCGCCGTCGTCCCCGTGTAATACGCACACGCCTCCGGCCCCGCGGCGTGACAATACACAAAGAACGCGCCCACAACACCATCCAAATGATTCACACTCCGCCACGTCCCATTTGCCTGGAACGCCGCCGGGTCCACTACCCCGTCCAGCGCAATATGCCCCACGCGGTCCGGGGACATGCTCGCGAACGTCTGGCCCAAGAACGTGCCGTAGCTGATGCCGTAGTAGTTCAGCAGGCTAGCATTAGCCGCCGCGCGCGCCCCGTCAGGCGTCCGCGCGAAGGCGTCCACGATGCTGAGCATGTCCCGCGCCGTGACGGCCGTGGTCATATGCCGTCCCGCCCCCGTCGGCCCGCCGGCCTGCTCGGCGCACTGCTCCCCGAGCGCCCTGCCGAAGTCGATGAAGGATTGGAAGTACGCGTCCTGCAGCCTCGGCGCCTCCCTGGACTGCTGCGTTTGAGCGAGGATCCCCGCGGAGCAGTTCGGCCGCGGCTCGCTCAGCCCGATGCCGCGGGGGTCGAAGCCGACGATGTCGTAGTTGGTCCCGATGGCCTGGGCGATCAGGGCGCCGTTCTGGCTGATGAGCTCGATGCCTGAGCCGCCGGGGCCGCCTGGGTTGGCGAGGATCATGCCGCGGTAGGGCCCGTCTGGGGAGGAGGACGCCGCGGGGAGCTTGATCAGCGGGACGGTGGCGCGGGCGAGTCCCGGATTGAGGTAGTTCAAGGGTACCTGGTGAGAAGCGAGGTTAGTCAGTGAGGATGTGATGGGGTGGGCCCTGGGTTGCGGACATCGAGTTTGGCGCAGAGGTAGTCGCCTTCGCATTGGCACCAGACGAGATCCTGGGAGGGCGTAATTGAGTCGAAAGTGCAGTTCTGCGCTCTCGTCACGGTGCCGAGTGACGCGAGCACCGCGCTGAGGGTCCTAGATCTCATGATTCAAACGATTGTGGTATTCTTGTTGAAACGAATGTAAGTAGTAGGGTCTGCTGTTGGCCGAGATCTACCCATCGACCTGAGAGATCTCCCCTCGTCTTATAGATCATCTTCAAGACAATTCCGCCGTGCAGCCTTAGACAATCTCACCCTCAGCTCAGAGCCCGTCGCCTCATCATGACATCCCTTGCATGTCAACATCAGTGACGTCAAATTTCCAGTCCCTCTCCTGAGTCCATCTCTGTTCTAGCATTCTCGCAGGATCGTGAACCTTGGAGAAGCAGAAGGGAAAGCCCTCAAAACACGCGAAAACAAGCCAGCTGTTGATACAGAACATCGTAAAGGTGTCTCAAAAGGAGGCTGTGAAGTAGGAAACACGCTAAAACGTGTGCATAGCCTCAATGGTGGTAGCATCCCCGGAATGCATTTCGCGGGGTCCCGGCCAATCCAGGCACCAGTCTCGTATTCTCAAAGTGTCAGTATCTCGATAATTTCCCCCGCGAAGGGCTTGCATGAAATTAGACAGCTAAAGAAGGTGAAATCGTGGGCGTTGCACAGCCCATCTACGCCAAGGAAATCTAAAGACCTTGATTACGCCCGAGGAACCCAAACACGACACAGCCCGTCCGTCGAGCAGACGGGGAAACGAATGAAATATGTACACACAAAAACAACCACACAAACACACTAATCGTCACACTTTCCTTTGCTCACATGGGTCGGCCATCGTACACAACGCCATATGGCACAGTCTCAATGTCCCCGTGACAAGCCCGCTCGTAGTCCGCAAGCTTGGGCATCTCCTCCTGCACCTCCAAGAACGTGTCCAGCTCGCACCAGCCGTCCTTCCTCTCCACGTCGCACTCGGGGAAACTCCACCCCAGCGGGAGCGTCCTCTGGTTGAGCACGAAGTGGATGTACTTCGTCTCGCCGCCGGACTCCTCGTACCCGGAGCGGTCGGCCTTGAACGGCTTCGGCGTCTTGATGATCTCGATGTCGAGCCGCGCTCCAAAGGGCGTGATATGCGAGACGGTGAAGTTGTGCTTGCCGGGGTACTCCGTGGGCTGGAGCAGCTGGGCAAACTGCTTGAAGCCGAACGCGGTCAGGATGGAGGCGATGTTTGTGTCGTGGGAGAAGTCGAAGTAGAGGCTCTGGTTCAGAGGGAAAGTCTCCGTGTTGTTGTCGAGCGTGACGTTGATCTGAGAGCCCGAGTAGCCTAGAGTGTGGTTCTGGAGGCGGGCGATAACCTCTTGTTGCCAGCCGATGCCGACGGCGCGCTGCTTTTTGTCAATACATACATCCCTAAGGGCAACCAAGCGCGACAATGACTTACTCCTGTGGGGTTCTGGAAGGCATTGTTTCCAGCAAAAGCAAGATCGACAGAGTACGAAAAGCCAACCCATTCCTCATACGTGAAGAGGTCGCAGAAGCGGCTGAACCCGTAGGCGACCGTCTCATACGGACACATGGTCTGCGCGGCGTAGGTGTCCTCAATCGTCCAGTCGAAGCCGTCGACCATGTCCTTGAGACGGGCCGTGGCGTTGGCGAGGTAGTTCGAGACCCAAATCTTGGCCGCCTCATCGCCGCCGTTCTGCTTGCGGGCGTTGGGGCAGTTAAGATAGCCGGCGAGAGAGTTGTTGGCCCGATCCTGCTCGATGATGACTTCGATGGTGGCGTTCCTGGTCCACTCGAGACCGAAGAAGCCCGCGAGCCAGTACTCGGCGGACTTGAGCATCCTGTCTTGCGTCTACAAGTTCGTTAGTCATATAGAATAGTCGTGCAAACAAACGCTGAGCATACCGTCGTCCGCACAATGATCTTGCTGTTGGGGTTGTATAGCGAAGAGTACATGTACGAGTGCAAGATGCCAGAGTCAAACAACTCCTGACGACCCTTGGGGACAAGAATCTCATGGCCCAGCTGATACCTCCAGTTGTTCAGGAAGCTCAGCGCGCCCTTCGCCTGGAGCGTGTCACTGGCCTTGGCAACCTTTTGTCCAAAGTCAAAGACGTTGGAGCCCATTGTGGGATATCGGGACCCATGGCGAGAGAGCATCTGGTACATGTCAGTCAAGCCCTCGACTCACACTGGCGGCTACAAACCTGGACCTGGACAATGTCCGCACCCTCAGGCAACGCATACTCCTCCACACCGAAACCAGGACTCGGTTGATACGGCGTGAGATATCTGCCGCGGTCAGCACTCATTCCCACCTTCCCAGGCGGCAAGACTCACCCCATCATGTTGAAGATGCTCTCATTTCCCCCTTTCATTCCCTCAATCGGCACATCCGTCTGCAAAGGCGCGTTGGGGACAAAGCTGCCCGTGGGAAGAACCCTCGTCTGCGCCATAAAGGCGGCCGCTCCCGTCGCCGTCGGCCCGGCCCACAGCTCCGGGCTCGTCCTGAAATACTGCGGCACATCGGGGTCCTGCCGACACGGACAATCATCGTCGCCCCCAAAGTTCTTGGCCATCCCATCCGGCCCGTGCCTCATACCGTCCACGCCCAGCCCGAACCCCAGCACCGCGAACGCAATCAGAAACCCGAGAATGGTGACGAGAATGGCGAGGCCAATGGCGACCGTTGCACGGCGGTAGCTCCGCTCACTCGGCGAGACGTTGTGGTCATCGTCATCGTCGAGGCTGATGGGGAACGTGGCGTCGGCCGGCGTACCGGGCGGCAGCGCAGGTAGCGGCTTCTCGCTGGGCAGGCGCTTCTCCCTCCGCCCCGAGGACCCGGAGCGGCTTCGGCGGGGCACCTGCTGTCCTCCGTACGGGGACTCCTCCTCGCCGGGAACCCGGAGGTAGCCGGCCTGACGGGGTGCCATTGTCACACGTCACGCGGCAGTCTCAAAGTCAAAAGCCAAGACGGATCAACGGCTTGCAACGACAAAAACGAACGAGATCCTCCCCTTTTCGCTGCAACTTGATGTCGTCGAGTCAAACGGATAAACCTGATGCAGCAAGCACCACCGCGAGATGCGCGCGCGCACTCTGCACGCTACGTCGGACGGCGCGCCTATCGGACGTACTGCGTCGATGACTCGGGATGGCGGGCTGCTCCACCACCAACGCACACAAAGAAAGCAACGATACGCTGGGCCTGCTTCAGCCAGCCAGACGAGCCCGATGACAGCGGCAGAAGGAGAAAAGGTGTGACCTTGAAGTACGTGACGTGGGAGGGGCGTGTAGCAGGTGCAAGACCGAGGTGCAGGTTGGCGGTCAGACGGGGTACGTTTCACATCCGAGTGTACCGCGGCGGTCCCATGAATATCCTTCAGAGGTAGCTAGGTGGACGGATTGGATTGCTGGACTGATGATGCACGCGCAGAAAGGGACGCAGGCGCAACCCTCGGCAGATAGCGAGGTCGCGTTCGGGATGCCCGTCGATGCAGAAAAGGGGGCGAGAGATTCTTCGAGCTGTCGGACTAAGGCACGTTGCCCCCAGCTATCGGGATGGGTGTTCCGTCACACCCAATTGGCCACCTTGACGGGTAAGTTGGGTAAAGGGGGCCCAAGACCCCGGACGAAAGCAGAATGAACGGGCGGAAAGAGACACGCTGAGGTGAAGAGAAGGGGGGCCAGGAAAAACGAAGCAAACAGAGCAAGGACAATCTCTCGGATGCTTGCGAATGATACGCGCCGCGGGAGCAGCCCTGGGATGTGCTGGATGGCGGATGGAGGGCGGTGGTGCGTGTGATGGGATTCGCGATAGAGGCGTCGTTGTTGTCGGGATTCCAAGTTCAGGGAGGCTCTGGTCTGGCTTTAGGGGGGCGGCACCTAGGTGTCGTTGAATGCGGCAATCTCATTCGACGCACGGCCTGGACCATCTGGCCTGTCTTGGCTTTCCAACGGGAAGATGGATCCGGTCCTGAGGAAACGGACCATTGGCCAATTGGATCGCCGACAGCTGCCCCCGGGTCGTCCAAGCACTGGCCACCGTCGTTGAGCTACGTTCCCGTCACAGTATCCCAACCTTACGTCTCGCGAACCGTCTCCAGATTCACGTGACTGCATATTTGGGGGGAAGGCAAAGGCAAACCTCAAAAAAAGACAGATACAGGCATAACCCTCGACTACTAGCTCCAGCCGACGTCCGCTGTCATCCAGCCAAACCACACTTGCATCACGCCCTTTTCTTTTTCCCCCAGACGCATCCTCATCCTCGACACCGCCCAACCACGTTTCAACGGCGACATTGCTGGCTCGTCCCAGCTGCTGTTCCGTAATCAAGCCACCAGTCACCACCAGAGCTCAGCTGTCCGTCAGCTCTGATTCCAGCCCCTCCCCCCTCTCTCGCGAGATGGCACCGGATGGCAAGCGAGCAGAGAGAGAGAAAAACCCCACCGTCGTTGAGACTGTCATCTATCACATAACACACACACACACACACACACACCCCTGCTCCAACACACATTGACACAAGCGCACGATACCACGCAAATACGCAAAACTGACATCGTGCCCACCCCGAACTAACACTTCAATAATCCAAAGTGACCGCGCATGGTCCCATTTCAGGTTCTTGGCCGCATGCCGTGGACGCTTTTTGATTAGTTACCCGTTCTCAAGAATACCCCTCCTCCCTGCCTCATCGTTTCTGCTAGCGACCCATCATTGTTTCTTTTTCCTTTTCCTTCTCATCCTTTACAAAAAGCCGCGGCTTGGCGCACAGGCAGGTCGAATAAGCAAAGATAAGGCAGAATACAAGCAAAAAAAAGCAGAACCAAATAAAACCTCTTAGCGCCCTTTGCGAATGATGCACCAAAATAATGTCTGTCTCCCCATACTGCCCGCCGACGACACGACCACCCCCAGGCAAGTTTGAAAAGTCTCACTTACAAAGACGCCCCTCTCTCAACCCCGACCCCATTCATCTCCCTCGATCGATCGCCCGCGCTAGGAAACGATGACAACTCCCCGGTCATGTACAGTATGTTCCTGGTAGCGAAAAGGAAAAAGCAACAACTGGGAGTCTGAAAAAAAACGCGCAAGATGGCGGAGAAGCAAAACAGCCGCCAAACGAAAAAGAAGAGGTCAAGGGCCACGCTGCAACTGAGACCGACGCAGAGAAATCCACACTGCCGACGTCGGACCAGCGTCGCTTTTCGATCCCCAAGAAAACTCCCCCCATGTGCATGTTCAAAAAGCAATTGCGCAACACGTTGAACCCCGACGCTCCTCTTCTTCCTCCTGCTTCTCCTCTTTGCTGTCGACTTCGTTGTGTATGCATACCTGCAGAGGCTGCAAATCCCATCCTTGACCTGCCTGCCCACGATGGGAAGGTGTTCGTCAAGAGCAATCATCGTCATCACCAAAACCCCAGACCCTTCAACATTGAAGACAGTCGAAAAGCAAAATATCCCGGCATAGGGGTCTCGATACAGAGCCGACGCGCTTCCGAACATAGCAGAAAGGTTCCCACACGACTCCCCTTCAATGTCCACTCCTTCCAATGCGTCCACCGTCCTTCCTCATCCCCATATCATCCCATCCCTTGTACGGAGGCGATGTGTCGTCGTTCCCAGCCGACATTCGATCCTGTCACCAGCAACCAAACCCTGGAAAGGCCCCGGGAACTTAGACCATAGCAGCCAACGATCCGGCAATCGCATGCACCCGATGTGAACATGCATCCTCTTCGGCAGCGACACCACCTGCCTGGCCGGCCGCTGTGCAGACGTCAAACCACCGCTTGTCGTCGTCCCGTCAAGTCTGCAGCCACTCGTCTACCGTCCTGTCGTCGGCAGACCTTGCAGACTCGACATCGCTTGGGGCCATGCCTTTGCGCATGCTTTTCTTTATTTTTTTGGGCCACACGTTGAAACGACTGTCGCCGCCCACTACCGGTGAGCACTGGCGAGAATTGCTGAAGCCACTCCCTGGCCCCAACGCCTGCGGCCTTCCATGCCCAAGTGTCGGTCAGCCGTTGACCGGTCAAGGCATCTCTGACCGGAATCCACATGTTGTCTGATGGCCGTTTGCCCCTTTCATAGGAATATCGGGCAGTGATGCCTGTCGTCCTCGAGTGTTTGCTTTTTCTCGTTTTTGCTGCTGCTGGTCCCCTCTCTCTCCATCGCGAGCTTGACACGGGAGCGTCACATGCACGTATTCGTACATTGAAGGAAAAAGAAAAAGAAGAAATCCCGATAACTCAAATCCGCAAAGAGTCAAGCGGCCGTTCGTTCGTGTCATGCTGTCGTGTCCCGTTGCATCTCCATCTGCAGGCCGGTATGGAGATCACTGACCGGCTTTTTGCGCTTGACCATGGGAATCTTTTCCAGAAAGATCAACCATCTCGCAGTTGCACAAACCAGACACGCAAGCCGGCTTTGCTCCGAGTGTTTTCCCTCTGTAGCATCCCGTTGCTAGAGACAGAGGTCGTCGACCAGTCGGCCAGCCGGCCGTCCGAAGGGGCCATGGCCAGTTGAAAATTTGGCTTGACGTCCACTTTCCCGGCATTGGCACCCGCTCACCGATGTCTTGGAGCATCCAATGATTGCTCGCGGCTCTCTGACCGGTGCTGCATGGTTGTAGAGTTCCAGCACCTCGGTCGTGTGATCAGTGGCCGCCGCACCTGCAGCCACGCGGTTGACATTTGACTGAGGCGAAACCACACCGGTTTGTCTTGCCCATATCTCTGCCAGAAAAAAAGTCCGATGTTCCACGTTTGGAACATCCGGTCAATGATCAGCGCTTGCGATCCTCACTAGTTGGGAAAGACGGTGAATGGGTAATTAATTTCTATTACAACGAACTCCTGGTCTTACATCCCATCCATGTATACATGCTTTTTTCTTGCCCGCGCTCTACTTCGCGAACTCCCATTGACTCCGTGCTCATCTGACCGTGAATGACAAGGTAAGGGAATAAACTTTTGAGGCGACCAGGGTAATAGGGAACGGTGAGGGAAAAAGCAAATAATAGATGATGCAGTAGTCGCTCCACGCCATAGGGAGCCCGTGTTCCCAGGGATAAACAATGCAAGCAGAAGAAATGCAACCGTGACGCCCCTTCTCCAGTCTTTGACGATGCTCCTTCAAAGTTCCCCGGCATGAACGTGTAACGGAAGACGGCAAAATTAGTTGGGGTACTTTCGGAGAGGAAAAAAGGCATCGGGCATGGGTTCCAGGTGCCAGACACGGTCGGCGGGCTTCTCGAAGGCGTCGTACCACTCGCGCTTCAGCTCCTCGGGGAGAGACCAGCCCAGCTTGTCATTGCGTACGCGCATGCGAACGAGATGACGCTTCTCGCTGGGTGCTTGGCCGTTGACGAAGCCTTCGCGGCGGTGAAGGATTGCGAGGTTGTTGATGAAGTGAATGTCACCAGGGCGGGTTTGGATTTCCATCTGTGTCGCCTTGGCAATGGTCTCCACGGCATCGAGAGCCTCAATCTGACGAGGGGTGAGGTTGGGGAAATGTGCCGGTCGGGGATGCGCAGCAGTACCCATCAGGGGCGTGCGGCCGAAGTTGATGATGATCTTGCCATCTTGGTGGAAGAGGATGGGACGACATTGGAACTTGGGACTATAAGCAAGTCAGGAAAGCAGCTCGGATATGTCGGGTTACACTGAGACGGTTGAACATACAGGGCAAAGGGCCAGTCGGAACGAGACAGTGTGCGGATGATGTCAGGTCGAGTGGCGGCGAGAACGTTGTAGACAGTGTGGGCAGAGGCGATGATGCACTTGCCACCGGCAGCAGCGGTGGCTCTGGTCAACCAACTGATGATGTCTCCAGACTCCTCGTTGTGAAACGTCTGGAAGAGAGGGCCGAATTAGTAGGCCGACGACGATGACGACGGCAAAGGTGTACTTACAATTGATGAAGTGGAATGACGGTGATGATCCGCCTTGGCTTTTGTGGTGTTGTCTGCAACAATGTGAACTGGGGACGAAATTAGCATCTTGCTGAGCACGGACGGTTAAGCCAATGTCACGTACCAAGCATGTTTCCCTTCTTGTCCTGGCGGCCACGTTGGTTGGCAATGTACCCCTGGATGCCAAGATAGATTACCGTAAGATCCTCAACCGAGTGCTTTTGCGGGTCAATGCCGCGGACCACAGCAAAACCCTTGCCTTGATGGATGTCGTGGGCGATGCGGTCAAGGGCGACTCCCAGGGTAGGGAGGGGGAAGTTGTCTGGGTTGACAAGATCGCCGTCAAGGCCCAAGGCTGTTTCGGAGAGAAATGTCAACGGTCAGACCGTTTGAAGAGAGATCGGGGTCGGCATACCTTTGAAATGCTTCAGCGCAGCCATCAGCTCATGGAGGTCTGTGTTGGTGAGGTTGTACGTGTACTGCGACTCTTGGGTGAATTGCGGGCCGGCCCAGGCTGATTCGAGGTCCAGTGTCTCGGGAAAGTCGGTGGGGAGACCAGGAACATCCGCGACTGGAGCGTTACAGTCGATGTGATGGATATGGTGGACAGCAGATGCCGCGGCGGCACCCATGACCGGACCAACTGCAGTGGACGCCATCTTGCTGATGTGAGAACTGAAAACCGACATGTTAGAAACGACGGGGCTCCGCGATGAGTAAGCCGGGTCGAGGGACGACAAACCTGGAGATGGGTGTCTGATATTACTCTGTCGTGCGTTGTGAAGCACGTAATAGACGACGACGGCCGTGAAGAAGTAGAGAGATAGAGAGATAGATAGAGGGAGGGAGAAGGACCCGAATCAAGGAAAGGCTTGGAGTATTACTCGAAGGAAGCTACACAAAGAGCAGCGATGCCTTGTGTATGCGTGTGGGAGAGTGAGAGATGACAAGATTTCCCGTGTGGGAGCGACTGTATATACGCGGCAGAGACAGTCTGGGCTGGTGCAGAACTCCAAAGGAAGGACGGGAAATTGAGATGGTAGAGAGAGACGCGGGTCGGGTCGTCAACGTGGGCGGGAGAAGAAACTGTTGGGGAAGAGGTTGTGAGGAGCTGTCATGAGATCTGGCAGACGAAGAAACTAATATACCTTCGAGGGACCCCTTTCCTTCCCAGGTAGGAGAGGCAGTTGCAGTCGGTGAAGGAAGGGACCGACTGCTTGTTTGAGCGGTGGGTGTGATATGGCCCAAGTTTCCTTCTTTTTCTTTTCTTCGTTTCCCTCTTCCTCGAGAGGAAGGACACACGGAACGGGCAACGACGAGATAGCAAGGCAGGAAGCCGCGGTGACCGTATGGTCTGCTGGGACCCTGGGAAGGCAAGTACCCGAATGCGCGCGCCTGCCCGCCGCGTAGGGGTTTTTGACGAACTAAAGGTGATTGAAGGCAAGAGACAGGCGGCGACGATGATGTACGGGGAGGGTACCGTGAACAAAACAACGATCCCGTCAAGACACCGTAGATGCCCGCTGCTTGCTTAATGCGTACCTATCATGCGTGTGCGCGCGCGGAAGCAGGAAGTGCGGGAGAGCGGCAAGGTAAGGCGAGGCAAGGGCTGGATTGGTGAGCCGGGCCGTTGGGAGGACTGGGGGAGGCAAATGAGACGATGTGTGATGCGATGCGATGCTAGTTTCCCAGTGGTCCCGTCAAGACATTTTAAGTCAAGGCCGGAGAAGAAACAGTAATGAGGTCAGAGGACCAAAGAACGGAAGGGAGATGGAGTCGCAGCTACCTCAGGTAAGGTGTGCAGAATAAAATAAAAATATGGCAAGGTAGGCAGATGAGGCAGGGACGGGAAGCAAGCACGAAAGTACGGTAAGGTAAGGTAGGTGCAAGTCGAGACGAGCATGAGAAGCAGCAGCCGCAGCAGGAGCAGGAGCAGCAGAATGAGAAGTCGCAGGTGCACTAGATGCGATCGATACACAAACGACTTTGGAAAGAGGTATGGATACTGGTAGAGAGAGGCAAGAGAGAGAAAGGCAGACGCGGAGTGGAATAGATGCGGCAAGGAAGTAACACACACGCCTTCCTAGCAAGCCTACCTTGCCTTGCCTTACATTTGTTGCTGCAAGCACTGTCATGGGTGTTTCCAAACTGGAGGGAAAGAAAGATGGGTATTTGCACCTGCTTCATCCACAATCCACAATCTGAGGTAGGCGCCGCGGGATGGGACGTGGAAAGGTAAGGAAGGAAAGGCACAGAAAGCACTGTCCCGAACCGGTGAGGAGGGACCCAAGTACCTGCACCTGGCTACCTTTTTTTTTTCCCCTCGATCCCCTACCGTGCGTGTGTTGTGTGTTGTCCTCGACAGGAGTGAAAGAGGTAGCTAGCCAGACGGCTCAGTGCGACGACATGAGATGAAAGCGCATAGCAACCTCGCAGGTACCCGGCGGAAAAGAAGAAACGATAGGGGAGTAGAGGATGCTTTGGGGCTGGCCGGGCTAGGCTGAGCCGTGATTATGATGAACCGACCTGAATCCAGCATGGTAATAGAAAAAAATAAAAATAAAGAAAAAAAAGGTACGATGCGCACGCGCGCACCTAGGGTCGGTATCCAGCGAAGTGCCGTGCTTCAGCTCACCCCCAGCTGCTTCATCCTGTCATTGTTCTGCGTATCCTGACAGCAGGCATGCCCTTGGCTTTGCGGGCATGGGTGTGGACAGCAGAACGAGTGTGAGAATAAGAGTTGATTAAGCAATGGACGTTGGTTCATGTGAGACGGCGGGGTTCGCAAAAAAAAAAAAGACACCTACCTGGACAGGGTGGAGGGACGTGGACGACGACGCGATGCATGAGGGGAGCTGGGTGGGCTAGAAACAGTGGCTGCGGGAGGGGCACGCATCCGTAAACGTCCATTCGTCGTTGGGTCCAGAAAATCTCTGTTTTTTGTCTTCCTCCGGGATGGGGACGACAGCTGTGTGGCGAGTCGCGAGGGATAGAAAGAAATTGAGCAAATAGACGCAAGAATCCGATGGACGAAAACCGAGATTGAAACGCAGACACCGGACCAGTCGAGAGAGCCAATTGCAGACCAAGCTAGGGTAAAAATGGATGCGCGTTCGCTCATCCGTGTTGTTGATGATGTGTGTAGTGTAGGTATCTTGGCTTGGGCATGCTGTGCGCCTAGGCATTCGTCGATTGTATGTACCTACATGCGTACGCACGTACGAACGAACGAACGGATTGCTAGCTGCTGGCCTGCAACAAGAACGGCAGCTAGCCACAGGGATTGATCCAATGCGCGCTAGAGACAAGTGGAAGGAAGATAGACTTACTCCGATGGAGCTCCATCCGCGTGGTGGCACGGATGTCGCCTTTCTATTCCGTGATGGGATCGTGACGGAGATCGAAGACATGTGGTGACCGAGTCCTTCCAATGTGGATTGACAAACGGACGCTTCCATGCAGATGGAAGCAAGCCAGGTGGTGGTGGATAAGAGGAGGGATGCAACGGGGACCGCGGCGCGAGAGAGAGACGGACGAGGGAGCTCGACATTGGATGAACATGGATCACCAACTCTCTTCTCAGCCATGGAGCTGCCCAGCAGGGCAGGGTGCTGTGGAGCCAGGGCGTGCACTGAGAGACAATGTTTTTGACGACTTTCCTTGGTAGTAGAGCAAAAGCCACGTTTTGTGGCGAGCGCCTCTTTGGCCAGTGTATCCGTATGATCGACCCAGAACTCGCGAGACGAGACGGGCATCGAGAAGGGGTGAGGAAAAGGGATTGAAAGAACGAAAAAAAATTTCGACAGGAGTCGCGACGCGGCGGGAGATGATCAGCATAGACGTTTTATGTCCGCTGTGTAACGTGCACTAGGAGGTGAAGCCGTCGGGGCGATGACGGGTCGACGGGTGTTCGGGAGCACCAGGCACGGTCGAGCGGTGTGGTTGGCGTTTCCAGGCCCCGTAGGCCGGGCAGTAAAATGGCTTTGTGCGCTCCGGGAGGTAGATGTTAGCAAACCATGGTCGATCCGATCCATGTTGTGCCATCCAGTGAATGTGTGTCATGGCGCTGATGGTTGGATGGAGCGTGGGCAGACTGGACTGGCCAGTCAACTAACTGCCTTCACCTCAAGCTAACGTGGTAATAGTAGTGCAGCGCGACGACGATGGGCGTGCTGCGCTGCTTTCCACCGATTCATTGCTGTTGTGGCCCTAGGCTGGTTTTGGGACGGTTGTAGGCGAGAAGATCAGCGTCTACCGTGCCTCAAAGTACGGCTACCCGAAGCTGAGGTTCCCTTTGCTTTGGCGCATCTCGTCATTCGGGCCTGCTGTTGGTTGCGGCGCTCGTCGTTTGTCCAACGCAACCTTGTTCGATCTCGGGAGCCTGGACGAGAAGCCGTAAATCAGATGGAGCGAGGACGAATCGCAAGCGGCTTCAGGGCCCCCTGCACGCCGCGATGTGTTCCAGGTCCAGGGTGGTAGCTAAAACAAGTGGGAAAAAAGTCGAGCCATGTGGTTGAAAATTGAAGCCGAATCTTGTTTGGTTGCATGCCCCGAAGTTGGGAACTGCAGCGATGGCTTTTTCGCAGCTGACTGGAGGGTTTTTCTTGCAGATTTGGCAGAGTCCGTTGCGCTATTGTGAGTGTGTCTAAGCTATCCATGTCGGAACGTGGAGTCGACAGCATGGGTAACGTAACTGTGTCCCAACGGGAAAAGCAATGGAGAATCTCAGGACGACGTGTATCCGCTAAAGGCACGCATTGGGACCTCGAGTACGAGATACGTACCGTAAACGAAAAGATACCTTGTGTCTGCATCTGGGCTGCTGTGCTGTGGGTAGAGGCGTTTTGTCCCACAGACGCGAGCAACTGGAGACATACATAAACCGAGGATAGAATGAGAAAAAAGCAAAGAAGGGAACCTGCAATGGTGGAGAAAGGGGGGGGAGGGCTGATGGAGAAGGCCCGAGGGGTCTGTCTGGGCAGACATACTCCATAAAGAGAAGGCAGAGCAAGAAGGCAATTTTGGTGTGGCGGCGGTTGAAGACGACGTCGCAGCAGACTCTGTGCGTCCCGTCCACGTCCAGTCCGTATTCGTAGGGGAAGCCGGAGACAACGACCGGAGAGGGACGCCGACGGCTGTCCCATCGGGAGTTGACGATGTTGAATTGGACATGTCCCGGGAAAGCATTTACTGGTTTCTGCTCTGTCTGCGCCTGGGGCCCATGCACAGAGGCAGGCAGCCGAAGAATAGGCGAACGGGATGCAGAAGCCGCGACCCCTGACACCGATGGTTGGGACCACTGCAAGCCGTTCCGGACGCGCCTTCCATTGACGAGTCACATCCCTGCCACTTCCCATAGATGGCTGGCGCCCGCCGTCCGATGACAGTGAGTGTGGACTTCCAGTGGAAGGGATGGGGGAGTGGGGCCCCGGGTACGTATCGCCCAGATTCCGACCTCACCTTCTCCACTCTTGACTACACCTCATTGAACTTCATCGCCCAACCCACCACCACGACCTCGACCGGTGACCGTCATCCACCCTTGAACGCTCCTCGCGCCCCTCCTCTCCGACCTCTCCGTCCCCGGGAACCTTGCAAATCCGTGGCCGCATTGCGCCTTGCAGGCCAATGGCAGTTTGCGCACCTGCTGGCCGGCTGGGTTTCCTTACCGGATCCGGACCGTACGAATAGTTGCCGAGGGGATTCGATCCCATCCAGCGAGAGAATGTGGGAGCTTTTCTGGCAAGCGACACGGATAGCCAGCTCGGATGCGTGAGGTGTTACGAAGCCAGATGGATGGCATGGCACGGCACATCAGGGGACCCTCATGGTTCTTTCTTGTTGATTTTCCACCATTTTCTTTTTCTACCCCTCCGTGTAATAAATTCTGCTCAATCTCGCCACAAGCACTCTCTTGAGATAGGAAATCGTGACTGTCGAACCAACAAAAAAAAAAGTCTAGACCGGCACATGCTCCCTCATTCCCGTCTTCATGTTGACGAACTGGTCTACTTACAAACGAACACCACACCGCATTTCTCCATTCCAATTTCCCGTCCCCCCTCCATCGGCATCCCCATCCCCATCCCCGTCCCAACATCCCAATCTCGAACCCCCCCTTCCATGACAACCCCAGCCTCCATTCCGATCCCCTCTCCTCCCACCCCCTTGATCCCCAGATTGCCACTCGAGGGCTACATTCCGACATTCTCTCGCTGTTCATTTGCGCGCGTTTATCTGTGCCCATCAGCCCGTCTGAGCTCTGTCTTGTCTGGGATTTAAGTTTTTTTGACAGCACTGGCCCGGCCCGCGAACCAGAGATGCAGATGAAATGTGATGAAATGGCGGGGGCCTGCGACGGCCGGTGAAGGACTCTTACGAATGGCGTTTGACTCCACACCTTCTACGGCACACTCGACTGCAGGACACATGCAGGACCCTGTCCAACGGCACACCTATCGCTGATCTACAAACCCACCCCGAGACATGGTTCGTCAAAGATTCCAACAGAATCCAGAGTTCATGTGATGGCCACTGATGCGATGCCACCAGCCAAAAGGAATGATAAACGACGTTCGTTACTGAACCAGTATCTGAATTATCGTACGAATCCCATTCCATCCCCCAACGTCGTCTGCAGCTCCATCGCCTCTCCGCATCGGGACTGTTGTCGCCTATTTGCACCCGGCGAAACACAAACATGACTGGACGCTTGTGATTGTGATCTCTCACGGCAAATTGCACCTTGAGCTTGATAACGCAATACATTACAACGGCCACGCGCGCACATACACACGCCAAGTGTTTCGCTGAACATTTTCTCCGCTTGTCATCATCGTTATGGCTTCCGCCGGCATCCCCATTCTTTCGCAACGAAAAAAACATGGTATCCCGACAAAAGGAACTGCCAAAATACATTCTTCCTCGTCGCTCGGCAAACTCGACAGACATGGACAGATCTCCGATCGAGAGTCCCAGCACAGTAGAGGCGGCAGAACCGGCGAGGGCTTGGCCTAAAAAACTCCGATTCCATGCCAGACGTTGAAAGCCAACGACTTCTCTTTTGGCCTGCTCGCATTGCGCCTCTGCAAGCCCCTGCAGTGCATCCCTCCCTGGTCCCAGACATGATGAAAGTGAAAAAAGAAAAAGGAGATCCTCCCCGCTCGCGCCACGCGCCACGGCAATTCCACCCTCGGTTCGCCTAACATGCGCAGTTTTCCAAGTTTCGGGGTTCCAGGTCATGGGCTGACCAGTCTTGGGGTCGCCAGTCTCGCTGGAAGAGTTGACTGACGAAAAAGTATGGCTTCTCGTATGCGTTGTCCTCGTAAAGCTCGTCCCACTCGTTTCCTGGTTTCCATCACGTTAGCCACTAGTCTCAACGCAGCTGAGTCCTTTGCCCCTCATCTGGCACATTGAGAGCACGAGATCATCGTCTCCAAGATCAGTGGAGTGGTTGAATGGCTCCGCCGCATCGCGAAAAAAATGAAGAAACCCCGCTTACTGTGTGCCATGACCTGTGATCGAGTCCAGTGAACAAATTGGATCGCTTGTTCGTCCAATTGAGCCAGCTGTCGCAAATCCTGATCTCTGCAGTCTTCGCTAAACGGGGCCACGTTCTTGTTGCAGTAGTGGAAGTATGCCAGAAGAATCGTGCCTCCTGTCCACCAGTGGTCCGTCAGCATGTCTTACTCAACAAAATCACTCGCTGGGACGATAAAAGATCACTCGATCCCAGGAGTCGTACGTACCCCAGTGATACTCTTGGACATCCGCCTCTCGAGCGAACTTTGTCTGTAATGACATTCAACTGTCAGCAATCCATCCAAATACAAAGCGTCGCGTCCCAAGTCTGATCGATTCTCCCGTTCTGACTCCAGTCTTCTCACCTTCATCCCGTGTTTTCTGGCGTAAGATGCATCGTGGTTTGCCAGAAGCGCAATGTTGTGTAGTAGTATGAATGTCACCAGGTACGTTGTCAGCCACGTCTTCTGCTTGTTTTGCTGGGTCATCTTCTGGAGTTTCTCCAGCATGTCGCGTCTGAGCCTCGTCTGGATATGCTGGATGAGGACTAAGTCCAGCTGGGCGCCCATGACTGGCGGAAGAGGGATCTTTCCATGCTGTGGGCTGCTGTTGTCCAGGATGTTGCGGTCCATGCCGAGCGTCTCGTTTCCGACAATCTCCACCGACTTTGTGGTTAAGCGAACCGCCACCCACAGCTCCAAAGTTTGCGTCAAAAGCTCCCGCTCTTCTGGGGAGATTCTCGGATCTTGAGAAAGCTGCCAAGCCTTGCTATAAGTTGTGAAGAGTAGATGATCCCGGGCGCCCATTACGCCCTCAACTAACGACGAGAAGCAGTCGACGACGCCCCTTTTGATGTAGTCCTGGTACGCTGCCTGGGCTTCGTCGAGGTCGGTTATGGCGTAGGGGGGGATCGGGACCGACTTCTTCGAACCATCCGGTCCCACCCAAGAACGCTCCAGCTTGTCGCCTGGCTGAGGAATGAATTCACGCACGTGAAGCTGCACCGACATCCCCCGCGCGTAGCCCTCCGTCACTCTGATTATCTTCACATCCGAAGACGCCCAGTTGGCGATATTGTCTACAGGGCCGTTGTCTCCCCAGCGCAGCGTCCATTCAAACCCATGCACCTGGCCCGGCTTCATGCATTTGACGTCAGTGAGCTTCGCACGGATACAAGGGAGACGAGAGAGGTGCTTGTGGTGGATACTGTTCGCTTTGGGCTTGCACGTAAGGCAGCACGCGGTTTCATCGTCGGGATCCGGTACGCACTGGTCAAATCGTCAGTCGTCTTTCTGGGATGCCTCACCCGACGTCTGTCTAGACGCATCATGGTCTCTACTCACGCGAATTCTTTGCATCTTGCAGCGCACACACGATCCAATCTTCCTGGTGTTGGCCGTCTCCTGGCGCTGCCTGATATCCTTGAACGGTCCACGCTTCGAGGCCGGGGCTCGCTGATGAGAGTAGACGATATCAAGCCGAGAAGCCGAGCCCGATTGCCCGATGTCCTCATCCTTGACGCACATTTCCGGCATGGCATACGGATATTCCGAGGCCACTGCGGCCAGATCCCGTTGATGTTGCATGGTTGGAGGTAGAGATGGACCTACGAGTGCAGCATTGTATGGAGTTGAGAGCAAATCATTCGTGGGCGCAGGATGGCTGGTGATGCCCGACGAGTTTTGAGAAGCGTCGGGAGCGGAGGCATTTGGAGCATTGGTGTAGTAGGTAGGCACCGGTATGTCAGTGTATACCATGTTGTCGGATACAGCAGGCGGTGCAGTCAGAGCCTGGTTCGGGCTTTCTTGTGCAGACTGATAGCTCGTCACGTAGGTGCCCATCAGCCCAGAGTCTGCGCTCGAAAATGCGGTGGACTCGTTGGGCGGTATGGTTGTCGGTACATAGACATCCTGTTGAGCGACGTTCACTGAAGGCCGTTTCTCGACCTCATAACCGGTGGTAGCTCCATAGTCAAAGGCACTTGGTGCTGGAACGAGCTGGTACCCTGATAGCCTGTGAATAAACGACCAAACTAGGACAGCGGGAAACATGGTGCGTACATACCCTCAGGAACAGTAAATGTACAAGGAGAGAAGCACGTTTGGCAACAACCTCCTAGAAGGCCGGCTATGCCTTCAACTAGCCCAGTTGCAAGACCAGAACCATGAAGACCGGCGGAAGGTCCCGGTTCGCCATCAGCAAAATGATGTTGGCCGTAGTGTATGGCCTGCTGAGACTTCTCCGAAGAGCCCTGAGCAATGGAACCGCCGGGCATGTGCGAAGACATCGAGTTCTCTGGTAATGGCCGGTGTCTTTTGGGCAGCTGGTCGTAATATGTGCCAAAGTAAGTTTCCAGGGCTGCTTGGTGAAGTTGGTACCCTTGGAGGTTGTAGAAGGATGCGATTTGATTAATCTGATGTTTGAGGTCTGGGTGTAGACAGTGGAAGTCAAATGGAGGAGGAGCTAGGAGAGGCTGCGAGCTCTGTTGCGCTGGCACTAAAGGAGATTCGTCCTCGAGGCCGTGAGGCCGGCGCCTCTTGAGATTATGATGATTCTAAGACGAAATCAATTCACCGCACATTTGGGTGATAGGGCAAACGGAGGAGGGGGCGTGACCAGCAAAGATAGAAAAGCCTGGGCTAACAAAAGATATGAGGGGACAGCGTGTGTGCAATGATGCGGGTGCTAAGACGGCAGCTGGGCTGGAAGGACAATGGGGAAGATCGGTGATATATCCCATGCACGCTGCCGCAAGCCGGGGAGCAGGGACATCTCTTACCATGATTGATGCGACGAGAGAGGGTGTGTTGGACAGAGCCTAGTAGCGAGACGAAGTACCACAACCGGTGGCGTGTATAATGTATACAGCAGAGACAAGCAGCAGCAGCAGCAGCAGCAGCAGCAGCAGTAGCAGCAGCAACAGTAGCAGCAGCAAAAGCAGCAGCAGCAGGCAGGCAGGCAGGAGTGAGCAGGCACAGCGAAGCACAAGGGCAGCGTAGAAAATTGCGCCTCACCGGGAGGGGGTGGGGGAGCTACGGTCTCACGAGAGCCATTGCCACATAATGGCACCCCTTGTGCGCGAGTGGAGTACTGGAAAGAGGGTAAGGTAGGGGAAAGGAGAGGAGGGTTGATGACTCGGCGAGAAACAGGAGGCGGAGGAAGAACAAGTCAGTGTAGGGGAAAGAAAAGAGGAGTGGAAGCGAACAATAGGGAGTCGGGCTAGAATGGGCAATTGTGAAGAGCAACAGAGACAGACAGAGAGAGACAGGCCCTGTTTGACAGCAGACACTCGGCCGAAACGGGGGGAAACAACGAAAGGAAAAGGCGGCAAGGCAAGTGTGCGCTGTGCTGCCGACTCTCAACGGTATCTGGCTGCGAGTGTACGTGCGTGCTCGATTGGTATGGTATACCGCTCTGTTGTCTAGGTGCGTCTGCTTCTGTCGCTGTTTCTGCGTCCCGGATTCCTTCTTGCTGGCTTTTCGCTGCTGTCGCAACGTGCTTTTTGGTCGTGGTCTGAGCCCAGGCGTCTCGCGCTGTCTCGCCTGCTCGCGACCAGATTTCGGAGCCGTTGGGGTTCTCGATGCTCGCTTTAGCAATGTCTCCTGCGGTGGAGCAGAACGTTGCGCGCGCGGGCTGGCTAAGATCAGAGAGCGTGCCGATAGAGACTCTGTTGCTGGCGATTGGCGTGCCTGTGCTGGTCGGTCAGTCTCTGTCGAAGGAGTCGAGGCTGAAGTGAGAAGACTCGGTGAGAGAAGTTGAGGAAGTGGGCTGCACCCGTGCTGAATTGTATTTCACCGGTCTGAGGGGTACTCATGAAAAGGACAGGGGTTCTTGAGACCACGCCACGCGAGAGGAGGAGCCGAGCATCTTCCCGCCCCTGCCGAGTGGATGGATTTCAGGCTGCCCGTTTGATGGGAACAGAGCAGCAGGGGTGGGGAAGAGGGCGCCATGGTACCGAATGTCGTGAGCAGTGCTGATCCTGATTCTACCTTTCCGTTGCGTCTCTTCTTGTGTTACCAGCAGCTGTCTGTTTGCTCCGTCTGCCTAGCTGGAGAGCCCAAGACTAAGCGCCAGCAAGACCCCGAGGCTAATCTCAGCCGTGGGATCTGCTGATTCTCATGATCATTTACCGCAGCGAACGCCGCCAACGAGAAAGCGCATCGTGGCCTCCGGGGTCGTCGGTTGGTTTCGGGAGACGAGTGGTTGCTCAAGGCTAGGCATTGCCTAACATGTGGGCTTTCGGGTGCGAGTGCTTACGTGAAGTTGTCATTAATGACCCCATGCGGGCGACGACGTGATCTGACCAGACGAGGAGTCATCATACTTCATCGCCCGGCTAACACCCTGTACCGTGCCATGTTACCAGCAGGCCGAGGCAGCCAACCAATTCCCCTGCGGCCGCAACCCCCCCGGATTTGGCTCATTAATCATCTGTTTGCCAATCTGACCTCCACGCTTCTCAACGTTCCATCGGAAAGCGCCACGGTCCCGAGGGTCTGACACCGTTCACCTCTTTGACCAGGTTGGTAAGTCTCTGGAGAAGCTAAGTCAAAGAGGTGTGTAAGTCCGCGGTCTGGCACCTATATCGTATGTGTGGGTGCTGGGAAGAGCCTCGTTGTTGGTTTTCTTTAGGGAAGTGCATCCGTTGCAACCCAGGGGCCGTCACCGCTTGTCCATGAGACGCAGCAAAGGTGTGGTAGATGGAAATGTCTCTTTGAGGCACAATGCGATGATGCCCCCCTGTCGCCTCCACTATAGCCGAGATAGACACGACATCAGTCCCAGAAAAACGGTCGACAAAGAATCTTGGGGATTTGGGGGGAGAAGCTTCTTCTCCATCTTGTCGGATCGAAGGCGCTCCGTTGGTCGAATACCGACTTTCAATTGGCTGATTTCCCAGTCTATTGGCCGATCGGCCAGGCTGTCAGTTGACTCTGTCAGTGGCTTACATATGATTGAGGAGCATCAGCATCCTCCGCTCTAGAGGATGATGTAGCCGTGTCTGGTCCAGTAACCGGGCGTGCGTACACCACCCACCACACCTACCAACAAGGCCACTGCCACCAACACCAACACCACCGCTGCCCAAGTCCACATGGCCAGGCCGCGCCGCCGCGCTGGGCCGTCAAGCGAGACGCTGTGTGAAGAGCCCTGCCGATTGTCGAAAAAAAAGTGAAGCTTGCAGGATACGCACTTTTGCGTCTCGCCAGCCCCATGTCCAACCAGACAGCCTTGACCGCCCTTGACGCCGCCCCCCTGCTTTAGCCGTCATCCATGGATGGCGGTCCGCCAGGCGACTGATGATTTGACACAGCTGGCGACGACCCAGCAATTGACCGCGCTATCTGCAGCTCGCCCGTCGATTCCAGAAGAGTACCAGGCTGCGGTTTCTAGGTTCTCGGCCACGAAAGGTTGTCCTCTTCTGGAATTCGCATCTGTCAAATTGTTGGACGGTCGACGAGGTGCATCATGCGGATCATGCAAAATGGTGTCCCGGCAGAGAGCAAACACTCCCCATCTCTTCTTGGAAAATATGTCGGTCAACGGTTTTGGCCTTTTCAATGGCAAGGGCGCCTGCCGAGCAGGCCCTGCATGCGCGGCCACCGCCAATAACGGACGCCTTAATCGATGCAGCTGATGAGGTCAGGGAACCACCCACTAATGGCCTCGTATCAAATCAACATCCGACGTTTCTCTGCATGAAGCCGTGCCAGTTGTGTGAGGCGAGGTGAAGTCAGTATTTCGCACCTACCGCACAAAGTACATGAGTTCGATCCCTGAACCAAGCTTGGTTGCCCGTCGGGTGCACAAAGTTCGTCTTGTCTTGTCTTTCCAACAGTGACGGTGACGAGAAGGAAAGCAAGCATCGGGGAGTGAGGGGCATCGGCGTAGAGGGACGCAGGATACCGTGGCTGGTTTAAGCTCAAATGGGCAACCGGTGAGCTGGGAGTGTTATATGTGGATGGTTACCCAACGAGCCGAGAGAATCGATCCGTAATCGTATGAACAGACCCCGGGACGTTCAAATGAGGGTGTGCGTGAGTCTAGGTAGCTCGCATGTCTCCTAGTGTAGCGCGAATTATTTTGCGGCCCACTCGTGCGAAAAACACGTCAATCTACCACCACTGTTGGACTTCTCGTCAATGCTCTGCGCTTCTTCCGTCCTCCTCGCTGCTGTATCCGTGCAGAAACTTGCGTTTCTGTGTGACGGCAACCTTGGAATGCAGCATATTTTTTTTTCTGGGCTGGCGGGAGTTGATAGGAGCGGGACGGTAGGATTGGGGGTGGCCCACTGCCACACAACCTGGCCCAGTGGCCGACAACATGTGAATTGACGAATGACGGACGCGGAGGTCCAAATCCGATCGAGGTGTCGCTAGTGGTCAACGTTTTTTTTTTCTGGCAACTTCTGTGTATGCCAAGACCATCAACGAAGAGTTAACGAGAGTTTTCAACCCTGAGAGTTCAAAGCCCGGCACCGTCAATCCATTACCGGACTTGCAGAGGCACTGCTCTTCCGAGTTAGGCTTGTAGACCTCCCCAGCTGGAAGTCGGCAAGCTGAGGGTTACAAGCCCGTGGGGATTGTTTGAACAGGCGATCCTTGGATGAAGGTCGGATCTGTGTCGTTTGTCAACAACTTGTGGGCATTCGGTCAGGTCGAAATAACCTACAGTGTTCCATATGTAATGTAGGTGCAGCCGCACTTGCATGGTCCACCTGCGGAAGACGTTCCGTCACTCTAGCCTCCGCCGGAGCAAGGCCAACCTTGCACTCGGTGAAGGCAAAGTGGCCGAGCGGGCGGGCGGGAGACTCGGGCACCAGCGTCGGCCCATGGCAAGGAGTGGATATATCCACCCGGTGAGAACGAACCTCAGGGACGGCCAGGTTTTCATCGGGAAACTTCCTCGAAAGTGGGCAGAGAGACGGTGATGATTTCTCAAGATTTGCGCTTGTCGTGGCAAGCAACCATTTGACCCATCGAAAAGGCGGCTATAATGGGTAACCGGTTCTCTCCAGGGTCGCGGCACGGTGGCATTGACACCGGCGAGGGCAGGCGGCTGGTTCCCGAAATGCAGCTCGGCGTACACGGCGTCTGGACTCGGCCTGGGCGGCCAGCCGCTCAATCAATTCTCGGGGAAGTTGTTGAGGGGAAGGAAGTGCAAGGGTCGTCGTCTTGTTCCATCTGTAGGCGGACAGAGACTGTGCGGCCTTTCATGAACTCATAGGCACGTCCATATTATGGCTGCAGTATTGCTTGAGTTACCACAGGGGCGTCTCTGTACTTG